ACTGGGTACCATAAATGCATAAACGCAATGATTTCCGTCCTATTTAGAAGTCAAACAAAAAACGCATAGTTTGAGTTTGCGTTTTAAGATTTTGGTTTTAGAGCTACAATTTATATATTTTAGGATTCATAAGGCGCTTGGCAAGCCTATGCATTTTTTGCTCCTGCATGCAGATACTTTAGCTTATCCTTAACCTCATTGTTCTGGATAGTCAAACTGATTCCCTTTAGAGATTTTACAAGCACGTCTCCCTAAGGTTTCCCAATTTGTTTTAACCACTCCAAATTTTGAAGCTGTGCTTGATCCTTCATTATTCTTCGGGTCTTTGAGCGGTTACCGTTGTCGCATCGTGGCTTTCGACGTTTCACTTCAATGCTTTCATTCCAATAAAATGAACATCTTCTAAGCATGCACGAAAAGCTGTTATCTTCTGTTAAAAGCTTCCTCTCGTTTATACTAACAAGGGAGGTCGTAACATTCGCAACGAACTTGAGCGTTCATCTGCTGCGGTCATTGATCCACTTATATTGCGCCAAGCTATCTTTCTTATGCTCACTTCCCCTTAAGAGAATAGCAATTGCCCCTCCACACAGCTTTCAAGTGAGAGTTCTTCTTACTGAACTGGTAAGAACATTTCGGTCATTGCTTCTTTTCATCAGAAACTTTGTTATTTTCATACTTGTGGTAGTGTTCATTCTTCTTTATTGTTAAAATGAATAGATGGAAATAAATGAATATTCTCTATACGTGTGCCAATATTGTCGTTTATAGATTGCTCCTAGTTCTTGAAGTGTTAGCGGCTTGTAAGTTTTGAACATCTCTTAAGGTTTTTTTTTAGTATCCGGATCAGGGCTCAGTTCTCGGAGCTGCGGCATGTCGTTCTACCGAAACTCTCTGCATTGATGTATGTCCCGCTTCATCCCTTGAAACTCTTTAGGACTATCTAATTTACCTTCAAAAGATCGGTTTTGATGGTCCTGACGAGGGACAGATAGATGAATTGAACTTCCTCTTTCAGGCCAACCATTTACCTATTTCCGTTTTTCAACCTAACGTTCAAAATCGTGATCGGGAGGTAAGTCTGGGTCCTTATTATTTTCGACTTGTGCGTTTAGTCAAGTGCATCTCAGACCTTTCCTACACCGACTACTTCCACCAGTTGTGCTACCGTAAAGCCTGGGCCGGCTGAAATTGATCTGGCGTCTCACCTGGTTGTGTCAGTCAAACCTGAACAGGATGACTTGCTACTTACTCCTCAACATGCCAGCTCTGTCGATGAATTCACTTTGGACACAGAATCCTCGGAAAATGTGACCGATTTTACGCCCCGAAAACCTTCAGTATCAAAAAGGACTCTGGAATCTTTCGAAGGCGCTTGTTCTACTCTTGGTTGTACCAGGATGCCTTCAGAGTACCTCGATCTTAGTCCTTCTGTATGTTTTTCTGTGGAACAAGTGTTTTTATTCCACCGGATCTATGTCATATGTTCCATTTTTTATAGCCGTACGGTTCTGTAGTTAGATCGCTGCAGTGCTACACGGAATCTGGAAGCCCTCCACCAGCGCCATTCATCACACGAGCTGCACTCTCAAGTCAT